CCCCGCCGCCCTCCCCCCCGGCGCCCTCCCCCCGGCAGCCGGGGGGAGAGCGGAGCCCCAGCCGGGGCTTACCACCCTCCTCCCAGGGCTCCGGCCGCCCTCCCCCCCGGCTGCCGGGGGGAGGAGCGGAGCCCCCGCCGGGGCTCGCCGCCCTTCCCCACCCCCCCGCCTGGGGCGGCAAAAAAGCCAGAGCCGGCCCTGCCCCTCCCCTCAAGTTTGACCTCAGATCACTGGCCAGTCCCAAAGTAAAAAGGTCAGTGACAGGTTAACAACTTTCTTTAATCCCTTCACTGCATATCTGGAGAGTACAAATGTGGACTCATTTTTTCTCTTTTCATAGACATTTGTGAATAATTATGATGTATCTCATAAAATCACTTATTAATACAAACACGGAAACTCAGTGGTTTCCATTCTCAAGATTGCATGAGTGCCTTTTCAATTTGGTATGGGTTCACACACAGCTTTACTTTCAGTCTTGGTGTAAGTGAAACTTAGTCTGGTTGGTTATATTTGCCCTGATTTGGGGGCATATCCTAGTTAGTTATAAAACATAAAATTAGGTGATCGATGCATGATTTGGATTCCATGGTGAACATTTTGCACAGCTTTGTATGAAAGTGCAATATTTGCTGGCAGAATTTGATGTGCACAGAATTTATCTGTATTCTTAAAGGGACATATTCAGGTTAAAATTCATATTTTGAAATAAAAAATTCCTTACCTGTGTCTCTAATTGGTTGAGCTTTGAAGCCTTATGTTCAACTTGATGGCCTTTGGAATGAGGAGGCACACAGAGCCTTTGGCATGTGGCACAGGTGGAAATGGGGAGACAGAGTCCGTAGCATGCAGGATGGGGTGGCAGGGAGTCCTTGAAATAGAGGGTTTGGAAGGGTGAGACACGGGGAGCTTGTGGGAGGGAATGGAGGAATGCAAAGAGCCGCTGAGTGTCCCATGAGCTTGGCCTGCCTACAGAAGCAATTCAATTTGCAACCCTTTATTGTTACTTTATATTATTAAAATTAATTAAAAAATATTTTTCACAGTCTGTTTTCCTTTTGCATTTCCTTCAGCCTGGTTAATGAAACTAGGCAAATCTGTTTCACTCTTGTCCCTGACTAGTTTCACTTTCTCATCCTCGTACTGGAACAATGCTGTTGTATTTGGGCTGCAAATGGTGCAGGGAAATGAGATTACCAAAATCTAAACACAAGACTGTGTTCACTCATTGTTTTAATATAATGAAAACATGTTCCACTGACATGAGGTTAATCGTGACTTCCTGACAGTGTCCCATTAAAACAATGATAGTGTGTTCAACTGCATTTGCTAAAATTTAGATTAATAAAAGAAACTTGGTTCTTTGGCCTTAAAATAAGCATTGTGTTTATTTTCCCATTACAGGAAACAGAGGAAATGGGACTGGAAGCTCACAGACGGGTGATGCACTTGGAAAGGCACTGGCATCTGTAAGTAATGATTATTGACACAGTTTTCAGATTAATTTAAACCACATCTTGTTTAAAATGTTGATCGTGGTTTCCCTTATTCATAGTTATCTTTTTCTTACTTATGCATACCTACAGTTAGCCGTTAAATATGTCCAAAACACAGTAACCTAAAGTGTTAACTTAACACTCCATGATACATTTGTGTACATTATGTCCATGTCAAGGCAAATGGAAATTATTGCTTTTATTTGTGGGAGGTTCCCATCAGATTTTTTGCTAGGCATTTGCCTATTTTGCGGAAGATCAGGATATCACAGATTAGCAGGGATTGGAAAGTTGTGTACACAAAGAAAAATTTACAAACACTGGCTGTTTAGCCTAATCATAAAGCAAATTCTTTTCTGTGTTATTTACATACAACTTCCATTTAAGTCAATGAAATTTATCTGAGGGCAAAATTAGGCACAAGGTTTAAAGTGCATGCTTAGTGGCCATATAACATTGGGATTTGAAAGTACTGTGGGAGAAACAACCTTTTAGACTTAATAAATAAAATGTCAAGTGATGTGTGCTCTGTTATAAACCATCCAATTTCAATGTATGGAGCATTTTAAAAAGGGGGATTTGTATTGCATATCTGAAAGGCATAATCAGTGCAAGCCATTTATGAAGTTAGTTTCAGTCACTGGAAGATGCAATTGCAAAAAATGAAATAATAAATTGAAACATTGCAAGTCCCTAATCTATTAAAAATTATTTAAACTTTTGTAGATAATAATAATAATAATTAATACTTTTACAATGCAATAAAACGGTGTGTGTTAATAGTATTAAAGGAGCCATTATTTTTAATAGAACAGTCCGCAGTACAGAACAAATTTTGAAACCATTGTTTATATTGAGTGTCTGACTTAATGTTCTGTATAGCAGAAATTCCAAATCTATGGGTGGTGGCTGGGAAAGCTCTGCAAACTTCTGTTGCTTAGCACTCTGGAAGCCTAATCCTGATTCAAGAGATAAAACTGACTCCTTTCCAGCGGCAAAAAGACTATCTCTGGGCTGCTTTTTGTTTTCCCCACCTCAGCCCACTGCACGCAGATATGCACACTCATGCTGATGCTGTTAGTCTTGCTTTCCTCTGATGGTCATATGTTAAAGGATGACCAGCTCTGATAATGTCAGATGGACTTCACTGATGTCCATGTCAGGCAGCAGATTTCTCTAAATCTGACTGGCTTTGGGGAGAAAAATATTGTCCCTGTTGTTTCTGCGGATCAGGTACTTAGTTAATGATTCAAGAGTGCAGAGGGCAGTCCAGTGTTTGGCTGCATGAACTGTCCATCTAGTAAAGAATTGGGGCCATTTTTGGCTCTGATCAATCTGAAGGAAAAGCTTCTTGGACATAGCAGTGCTTACAAGCATTGTGCTGTTCATTGTTGTACAGTTCTCCTAGGGCATGTATGGTCCACAGCCTGGCCAATTTTTTTTGCTAAAATCTTGGCCTTATGGGCTAGCCCAGACCCATGTGATTGTGAGATTTTCAGTTGCTCTCCATCTTTTTCCTGTTGAACAGATCCACAGGTAGTTTTCTCTTACTGTGACTAGTTGGGAAAACCAGGGTCATGTTTGGAGAAAATTCCAAATTTACTGTGAGTGGAAGTCAGGGCAGGAATGTTTAATCTAACTGATGGGTGGGCTTTGGTTGTCATAGTAACTTAGTTCTGTCATCCTATGTTGTTGCTTGGCAGGAGCAGCCAGGTCATTCCATAAATCATTTCTGTCATAGCTGATGGTGATGCATTCCATCTGCTCTATCAGTGCATGCCATAGTCTGCACACTTCAAATCCCTTGCTTCATCCATCTGCTCCCTTTACCCCAAATACACACACGGAGCACACTTTTCACAACTGTTCAGTAGGTAATACAGCAACATTACTTTTTGAGAAAGGGAATCATAATGTTTGGAGTGAAAATGGTGCATTTAAGTTTCAGTGGCTAATAAACTTTGTGAAATTGTATCTGTCTTCGCAAAGATTTTTTTTTTAAATGCTTACATCGTCTTGAATTTTTAAAGCCACTATCTGTCTTTTTAGATGTTAAACACCACTACTAGTATTATTAGGAGGAATTTCTAGTTCTAAGATTCTGTTGATGTACATCTTACAAAGGCCTTTCATGTGTGAAACATCAGAGGCTACAACATTTGTTCCTCAGTTTAGGTATTAAAGACCATACAGAATACTGTGTGATTAAACATGTAAGGCCAGATAATGCATTTGCAAAGGTTCTTTTATTTTAGGTTTAAGCCTGGATAATTGTGGTCTTAATCTCAGGGTAGGCAAGAAAGAGAATTGTACATGAAAGTATTTACACAAAGTTCCGAAAGCCCTGTGGATTATGCATTAGTTTGGATAATGAACTAGTGTAGATAGAAAGAAAAGAAAATCTGGGTATTTGTGCCATTTCTAATGTGTTTCCCTGAACATTTGCCAAACAATAACCCTTTAAGATTGTGCCCATGGAGGGTTATATGGAGGGAGAAACATCTGGTTTATTTCAGTGCCTAATGCCAAATCAAAACACTTGGTCTTTAATTTAGAGGAGATCAAACAGGAGGGCTGTTTAACTTTGTTGATTATATCAGACCTCTTTGTGATAACTTATGTTTTGATTCCTACCTCAGTACTATGGTAAAGGCCTTTGTGTGATCTGGATAGTTAAATGGCCAGTGGTCCCCTAACAAAAGAAAAGAAAATGTGGGGAAGTTGACTTTTAAAAGTAATTCATGAATTAAGTTTCTTTGTTGCTTTAGACTCAATAACATTAACATAACAAAGCGTAACTGAAATGTACACTGTAGTGGTTAAAAAATTGGACTAACAGCTCCGAGGTTTGGCGCTGCAGGCTCTCAATTGTGCAGCTTTTGTCTAAGACCCTTTTCATTAGATACTGGCATATTGGCACCCTGCTGCTTGGAATGGACCATGACTGATAGGAGGAGGAGTTTCATTTGTTGCAGTAAAATGAGTCATGTTACCGTTTAAGCCTGGCAGAAGGTGTCAGAGCTGTTCATCATTGGTCATTTAACAATACAGCAGCCATGGGTTGCATGCAGAATGCGTTCTGATTTTGTATTTACCCTGTGGCTTTTAACAGTTTTTTCTTTTTAAAATGATTTAAAAAAAAGATTTCTATGTAGATAGCTGAAAAGAATGGATTTTCTGGCTATGCTGGAAGAAGGCCAGGAGACACTGGGAGCTTTTCTTCACTACCGGGTAAGTCGACCTAAGTTACGCTACTAGCTATGCTACGTAGTTTAGGTCGACTTACCGCGATGTCTTCACTGTGCTGTGTCGATGGGAGATGCTCTCCGGTCAACTTACCTTAATCTTCTCGGGGAGCTGGAGCTCCGGGGTCGACTGGAGAGTGCTTTGCTGTCAATTTAGTGGGTCTTCCTGGATGTAGTTTAATTAGGCTGCAACTTTATTCCTAAATGTCTGGGGGTACCCGGCAGATAAAAGTGTGCAGTGCAGGTAATTTCATAATCATTTACATATACCCAGTGGGGTGAGGCTGCTGTCAGCCCTCCCCCTTTACCCATCCTGGTCCCTAGCCAACCCACTGCTGGGGCTTCGTCATCCTATGTCCCCCCCACCCCTCCCGAATTAGGGTTAAGGAGGGCTATAAAGTCAGATGTTGGATCCTACCATACCAGTCATAGGAGCCCCAACCTTCCCTCCCCGTTTCCACTCTTTTAATACCTCCTTTAAATCCATTTACTAATCCATTTCATCTGATCATTATATCCCTTCCCTATAGAGTACTCGCTCTGGGCATACTCCCCACGCCCACATAATGAGTTGTGACATCACAGCCTAACCCTCATTTCATGTTCACCCCAGCTCAGCCTCCAATCTGCTCTGGGGAAAGCAAAAAGCCCCCACGTTGCCTTGGCCAATCTGGTGCTGAAGGAAAAAGTCCTTCCCAGCCCCCCAAGAGAGGAGCGACTAGCATAATTCGCACAGCAGATCATGACAAACCCTGGTATTTGACTACTCCCATGGGTGGGAGGATGGGTGCTGCTCCACCTGATCCAGGTAAAAGAGGGCTTTTCCTGCACCAGCATGGACCTAAATAGTTCTTCCTCTTCTGGTCACTTGTGTGGGGGATGGTCAGCGTCCACATGCTGACCTGGTCTGAAGCTGTTGCAGCAAGTCCTCCTCTGGTTCTCTAGCTCTTAAAGGAACACACACCTTTTCCAACAAACCAGACAACAGCCCCCACCACTTAATGTGTGATAAGATCAAATTTTCTTTTGGCATGACATGTTTTGTTCGGACGTGGAATTTATTTTGTATACCACCCTTTCCTTTGGAATTTTTAAAGTTTACATAGCAAATTTTGCAAGACAGTGTAATCAAGACTTAATCGTAATTTTATACTGATTTGAAGTTTTTTGGAGTGTGGTTTTGGTATTTTTTTTTCTTGGTCTTTCATACTTACATCAGATAATAAAGTATATGCAGCCCATAAAGTCCTGCTTTTGACAGCTCAGGAAATATTATACTAATCCACCAGCTTCCGGCTTATCATCATTTTACCACTGAAATGTCAGATTGCGTTTGTGCACAGTCACAACTAGTGGGTGAATGGAGGGGCTGTTTCAGACTGCCAAACAGCCATCTGAAGGTTAAAACATTTTCGTCTCTTCTAGCCCTAGAGTGAGAGATTTGAACTCATAACCTAGAAGAAAAATGTTTCATATCCCATTACCAGTACCTAGACCTATCCAGTTCTTTCTCCAGAACAGATTTTCAAGGTGCTTACAAATTTTAGATTTTAGTTGGAAACTTAGATTTAATTTGCTGTTTTATCCAAAGTCACCCAACTGTATTATATAAAGCATAGAAAGATATTGTTGCCAAGTTAGAAATAACTTTAAAAGTTCAAAACTTTGTATTACGTATATATTTTGGAAGCTATTTATTTAGAAATCAACCAGGGAAAATCTTTATGTGCAAAATAATGTTAGTAATAACAGCACAATTTCAGATGACTATTTTATTTTGTTAGGTGACATCAGTAATTAGAGTTCAGTCCTTTTCACAGTATTCTCTCTTACTAAGGATTAAATTTTTTTAAAAATAACCATAACTTTGTCAAGTTTTATAGGATCTTTTGTCTGTGTAAAGGAGAGTCACAGTTATTCCTCCAAATTTTCCTGAAGAAGTTTTTATACATTATCCTTATTATCTGTAGACTTGTTAACTTGACTTCCACAATTCTTCTTGTAGTTTGTAAAAAGCATATTCGGCACTGCTTGTTTTGACAACTACTTGAAAATGAAAGCTCTGTGGACTCTGTGGCCATTTTAAAACCTTCCAAGTAATAAAACAGAGCTACGATTAATGAGCCAATCTTTTCATCAAATTAACATTAGTGGTGACAACTGAAAGTATAAAAGTGAATCCAAATCAACAGATTTTATTTTTACTGTTAGCTGTCACATGTATTGATAGATGTGTACATCCTTTTGTTGTTGTTAGATTTATTCTCCTGACCATACCAGCAGTAGTTTTCCATCAAATCCATCAACACCAGTTGGATCACCATCACCTCTCACAGGTAGGATCTACAGCTTGTCAATATTTTATTTGCTATTTTGAAAACTTCCTTGTTAGTTTGACTTCACAATGAAATCCATGGTAGTTTCCATGCATATCTAATGGCAATATGGCTGTTACAGTAAACTTTCAGTCTATTGTTTGTAGAATGTACTAGTATTGTACCTTGATTAAAAATGGTTTTCATTTAATGTATTCGCTTGTTTAAATTGTAGCCCAAAAAAACCCAAAACCCTCACACCAAACCCTCTTGTTTGTCTAATTTATGTCTTATTTAACTAGTCTTGGCAGAATTTGATTTTTAGTTTTTTACAATTTTGATGGCTATATCATGCTTATTTTTAACAAGATGTTGATCTGTTTACATTTTTAAACTTGCATGAAATTCTGGGGTTGAAGCATTTATTTTATTAATTTAAATTTTCATGGTTATGGGAAATTATAGGGGGAGTCAGAGTAGGGATTCAGACAATAATGATTTAATTACAGTAGACTTTGAGATTCAAAAAGTTAAAACTTTATAACTGTTAAAACATGAATTGTCAACAACATGTCAAAATATACAAAATAAATATCCTTAGATCAAATTCTTGTAAGTTCTCAAGCAACATTTTTCTTACTTTGCCGGTCTGTAAATTTTGATGATCATCTCTGGGTGCGTGGGGGTAATGAAATTGATATTTACAAATGTTGACTACTAAAAATCTAATCCTCCCAAGCCTAGATTTAATAGATTTGAGGGGAAGACCTTGATGTATTTCTTTCCTGGTTTGTAACACAAACACTTATTGCTATTAAAGTTATAATAAGTCCAATATCATTTTTGCATAATTATTTTATGCTGCCTTTGGCCAATTATTAAAAGAAATTCTCATTTGCTAGGAATTTGAAGAAATCACATAAGAGTAATCTTATTTGTAAATATAGAATAGTAAAACTTGACATATTAAAAAGTCTGTACTTTGTTAAATGTTTTTCTCTACCATTTGAGAGAAACAGCACTCGGTGATCTTTTTTTTTTTTTTCCAGAACAGCATACAAGATAATAGTGGAGTAGCTTTCACAAACAAGTTGTGTGTTCCCTGTGGTGAAAATACAGTAGCCTGTGAAGTCATTCAGTTTTTGGGTGGGGCAGGTTTTCATTCATATTTCTCATGAACATTTTCATAATGTGAGGAACATACTTCTTGCAGTTTTCAAAATACGTACTCCGTATTGCAGCCATTTCTGTCCCCCATACTTTGTGTGTTAGTAGTGTGAATTTGGTAAGAAGCATTCCAGTGTGGAGATGAACTATGAGCAGCTGCTTAGAGCTATTAGTGAGTATTGCAGCTTTCACAGACACTGTGGCCTCAGCTGTCTAGTAAAAGTTGAACAGCTGTTCTGTACATAGAGAGGATTGTGAAAGCCCCATTGACTTAAATTTGTTGTTTAACAAAGAACTGGAATTATGGGCAGGATGATGTAACTTTAACCCTGTTCATTCCTGTAGTACAATTTTGTTAAATTATTGACATAATTTTTTACATCAGCCTATTTTCCCACTCACTGTTATCTGATGTATTCTCATTAACTCCTCATTGATTTTCCTTTCCCGTGTGGACCAGTTTTCAACAAGGGCTTTTTCTTTTTTTAAATTTGTTGCTAGCAGAAAGTGTGTAGTGTCCTTGACTCCAAGTGTCTTGTAATTTAGAGAAGTAAATCAGTAAATCTCTTTGTATTTAAAAAAAGTGTCAAACAAATAAACTCACCTCATCCAGTCTTTTGGCCATATTTAGTGGATGCTGTGCTAGTTTTCCATGCATTCAGTTGATGAATGAACATCTCCTGGTTGACATGGCATACCTGAACAGCTGCTTTAGGCGTTTTTTTCTGTAATAACTGAAAAATGCATGTTGAACTGTGTAATTCCAGGGATTAATGCATTTCTTTGATTCAGTGGTTACAGTTGAAGAAAAATGTCTTGTGTATCCTTGTTCTGCTGAGATGACGGGTCAGAGCCTATAGGTTTATGCAATATATATATTTTTAAATCTTTTAACAACGAGGCAAAACTTGAAAGGGGGGTGCTTTGTGGGTAGAGGAGAGTACGTGCAACATTTCAAAGGTGTTACTGTGAAAAAGATCCAAATTGGGGTTCCTGATTAAGGATTCCACACCACTTAATCTTTGTGAGCACTGTAGACTTTCTCGAATGACATTCATTGGTGGAATTGACTTTCAGTTTTGAGGAATGGAGACTTGAGTCCCTGCACGTCTGACTCTGCCCCAGCACCACTGCCCTTGTCTCCTAGATTCTGCAGTGATTGGAGAGTCCCCCAGTACTCCCAACCTGATTCCATCCTTATTTCTAGGTTCTAATTGGTAACCTATAGTAGATTCCACCAAATAGCACTGAGATCCTCTTCAGGGGAGAGACCAGCATCTCTTTTAGAAACACCTCCAGTCTTGATTTTAAATTTGCCTGTGATGGAGAATCCACCACAACCCTTGATAAGTTGTTCCAATGGTTAATTACCCTCACTTGTGAGTTAGGAATGCTGGGTTCTGTTCCCAGCTATGCCACTCATACCCAGTGAGCCAAAATTCAGAGTTATTACTATTCTATTTATCGTTATTGACACTCTTGGCAGCCATCTTCTATCTGGACTAAAAAAACCAAAACCCCCACCACCATTACTGACTTGATAAAAGTATTAAAAAGTAAACACACAAAGTATCCTAAAATAAAAAATAATGTTTTCTGAATAGTATATTAAAACACTTCATTTTTCTTATAATCGGTGATTGGAAGAAACCCCAACCAAAAAATAGTTTCAGTAAAATAGGATGAATAGTGATGTTTTTTGCCAAATCTAAAATGGCTGCTGACACATTTAATGGTATTCTTAGAGTTCACCTCTCTTCCCTTTTATATAATTAAAAGGCCTTGTTTATTTATTAGTCTAGTTATTCTAGGCTTGGGTAACTCATAACTCATTCATTCTTTAATTGCGAATTAGGGATCAGGGATCAAGCATTCAGAAATAATGAGATTGCCTTAAAACTCGACAGATCTTTTTAAAATAATAATTTTAGTGTTTTTTATTTGCCTTCTGACTTTTGAGCCTCTAGGTTCACATTCCCAAGCTTTTCAACAACGAGGACTAGAAATGTTCATTCATTTCTTAAAAAAGAGAGATGCCATAACAAGAAGACTCCAAGAGCTGGAGCTCTAAGAAAAACACCAAATATTGTGATCTAACAGTAAAATCATGAGCAGTGGTAACTCCTCTGTCTCACCTTCCCTTGCCTAAATTGAATCCCCATCCTGCAAAAACTTACACGCATAACTTTTCAACATGGCTTCAATGGACCTGTACATGTGTGTAAAGTTACACGTGTACACATTTGCATGATTGGAGCCCTGGCATTTTGAGAATCCCTTCCTATGGGATTGGAGGCATTCACTCAGTGAACTTTGGGGCAGGGGGAAGGGCAACAGCCCATTGCTGGCCCTAACATATGTTTGGAAGGTAAGGAGTTGGGGAAGGCTGGGCTGAGAAGGTGAAAACAACAGCATTGAGATTGTTATGTATGACCCCTGGAAATCTTCACTTCTTTGGCTTATTTGTTTTTTCCTGCTGCTATGTGGGTGCTGCACTAAAAGTTATTAATTGCAGGGCTAGTGGTGCCAGAATGCTTTTTAATGTAATTGATAGATTTCATGAACAAACTTCTGTAAGAGGGAGTGGGGAGAGGCAAGCAGGAAATTAGTGCCATCTGGCAACCTGCATGGCCATGGAAACAAAATACACCAGTAATATTAAAAAGTCCCCCATTATTACCAGAAGCGTGATTAACTGTGCAGGTTGCACTCAGATATTTTTGTGAGGGGTCCCAGCCAAATAGTTTGCTCTGGGTGTAATTATAGTGAACAACACCTCTGTTGTCCAAAATGAAGTAGTACATTGAACGCTAGATGAATATGTGCAGGTTTAGAAGATTCATGTTCTGGTTAGATAAGTAGGCTGCTTTCTTTCATGAGGTTTTCAGTTTACATTCTGCTTTTATTTATTCCTTTCTGACTAATATTTAGAATACCACTTACGTTAGGGAGTGGTGTATGCTCGTTAAAGCTGCAGTTAATGGGTTTCCATAAGAAGTTGCTGTCTCCTAAAATGGCTTTTTGGCATTGGGTTGGTATGATCCTCGAGCTGAGCCTAAAAATTCTGAAAGCTATTTAGACAACATTTTTGTAAGATTTAACTGAGTATTATCCTCAAAAGTAGGAAATGACAGGTAATGCTGAGGAGATTATAGATGCAAGACCAAGAATAGATGAGTGAGGTGAAAATTTGTGGTTACACCCTGGTACTCTGATATTTATTTTGAGAGAAAATCCTAGTACAGTCATGGCAGATTGGTGCTTATATGAAATCAGAGATCCTCTTTTTAACTTAAACTTTGAAAGGAGATAGCAGAGATGTTTTTGCAGTTGTGCAGGATGCAGTTCTTTTCTTAAATGAAACTCTTGTTTTAAAGGGTAACTGTTTGTGGATCACTGAACAAAGGAACTATAACATTATTAAACTTCTTCCCGGTTTTCCAGGAACAGAGCTCTGGCTGTTATTAAAGGAACGAGCCCAAAGGCTCTTCCTTTAATGAGTTGTTTTGGATTGTATGTCCATAATTTATTAATGTAATTGCTTTATTATTACATTTGTATGGCTAAAAGGAAGCTGTCTTTAATGGACATAGAAATACATGTAGTCTTTATAAAAGATGCATTATTAGCTGATGAGAAAAATACATGTACTACTTCAGGCTTTGTGTTTAGAAAGTTCTTTTTCAGTCATTGCAGTTCATATCGATTTATTCCTAAATTGTACATGGTCGTGAATATTCTATATGGCAGATTAGAATGCTTATATTTTAAACTTGCAATAAAAATATGGGTAATTTGAATATAATTGCTACTTTGCTGCATAGATAAAGAATTATTTTTCTTCAGCTGAAATGAAATGTGTTCTAATTTACCTTTAATACATCTGAGATAACAGCTGGATCATATTTATCATTTTTATATAATATATAGCTTCCTAAATGTGACATGCATAATGTATACAGAAAGATTTCAGTTAGAGTAGTTGGAAAAAACTAAGCAAAGTAATGCCTGCAAATTAATGAGAGATGTCATGGAGAAATGACATCCAAAACAATTTTTATCTTCAGTTCCACGCCCCAGCTGATTTTTAGTTCTAAATAAACTAGTATATGTTCTTAACTGCTTCAAGGGCATAATTGCACATCACTAATTTGAAACAAAATTCAGTAACATTTTTATCATACTGATACTGGGAAGAGACGGGAGCTTCACAGGTATAATTCACTGCATTAGTCCGCTGGCTTTTTTGAAAATCAGAAAATATAACTTTGTATATAATGATAAGTAACAGTAGCTGGGATCTTTCATCAACAATAAATATTTAAACCTGCAGGTGTCAGTATGTAAAAAGTGTCAGTTACAGAGAAAAATGAAGAAACTTGATCTCCTTTGCCAACCCTTAAATTACCCTGTCTTCTTACAAATTGTGTTATAGTTCACTATGTTAAAATTGGTTTGGTGCATAAATGTGTGTGTTAACCTGTACAATTTTGGCAGGTGCCAGTCAGTGGTCTAGGACTGGAGGACAAGCTCCCTCATCTCCAAACTATGAAAACTCTCTCCACTCTTTGGTAAGAATTGTTTGAAGCTACATATTACTTTCTAGCTAACACTTGAAGGTTCATTTTTGTATAAATCCTGCATATCATTAATGAAAACAGTAGGATATCATTACAAATGAATTCTTTGCTAACAAATGGTCTGGTTCAATTGAACAATATAAGACATGCAGGGTGTGTCTTTCACCATCTGTTCCTTGGGCATCAGGCTTCTATGCTAAGGACAGCTGGTGCTAAAACACTGTTATGAGATTCCAGTACCTTTTCACAAATCCATAGCTAATTCTTATCTAAAGCTCACTTTGTAGAGTAAAGATAAAGTAAAAGATTTAATATCTTTGCATTTATATGTACTTTTTTTTCTTACATGGTAATCCTGTGGGCTTTTTGTCATTACACTATCACTAAGGTATTAAAATTAGGCATGTTTACGTTTAAGTATTAAAAACTTATTGGGGAACATTAATTACTGTATTGTGCTGAAAAGGACAGACTTTCTATACAGAAGAAAACACAGGAAAGAAACTACAGTATTGGGGAGATGGGGGGAATTTGTAAGTAATAGGTTTGAAAAATCTCCGAAGGGTTTTAGTTGCTGTCTTTCCTTTGCTGGTACAGTATCGGGAAGGGAAAAAAGAACTGATAGAATATTGAGCAAGGCTTTGGTTATTTGTTAATAATTCTAGTTTCCAAAAATATAATTCCTTTTTTCTGTGACTAACAGAAACAAATATAAGAGAAATCAATTTCCTTTTCTTCACACATTTTGCAATTATATGTAAACAATATGTGCATCTTAGAATGCTAACATTATAACTGCAGTGTTGAGCATTTAGCCTTTTCATACCTTAATATAATCAGATCTGTTGCATTAACTTGACTAACATTTTATGCTGACATGCACATCAGCTGTTTCCTCACCTCTTTTTTGAATTAATCTTAACCTGTGCTTTGCTTCCTGTTCTGTCTTGACTTTGCCAGAAAAATCGAGTTGAGCAGCAACTTCACGAGCATTTGCAAGATGCAATGTCCTTCTTAAAGGATGTCTGTGAGGTACTATTTCTCTTCAGATGGTGCCTTTTTGTGTTTCAGTTAATTCTACTTACATATTCCTATTAAAATCTTAAATTAGCAGAGTGTGTGTCCAGTCTTTTGCCTCCAACACTTTGCCATTTTAGTTTCTAGAGCGCTGCAAGACCAGAATAATCTTTGCTTATTTCTCTAAAGAAACAATAAAGATAGACTTAGAGAACTATTTTGTGGCAGTGTACAGAACTTGTGCATTTACTGGGGAAAATATTCCAACATATGTTCATACATTTAATTTCTGAAGTTTATAACAACATTTCAGAATTTGTGTAGAGTTGGATTTGGAAAACAATCACTTAAAACCTTGGGCTAAAGCCTTGTCCAGCCTTTGTAACCATATACCCTCAAAAAAGTCACTACCTTTCTGAATTCTCATTAGGAATTGTTATCTAAAAGGTGATACTGATTTTATATTTTTTCTCATGCACTACAAAGCTTTTTATTTTTGGTACTCGTTCTATTTTTTTTCTGTTCAGGCTGTGTAGTAGAAACTAAATAGCATTATTGATCTTATAGTAAGCTTTGTTTTAAGAAGCAACCATCTCTGTTTCTGAGATGGCATTCATTTCACGTCTCTAGATATCTTATCCTTTTTCCAGTTTATTTATAGTGCTGTAGGTGCTTTGAAGCCTTCCTTTTTGATTTTGCATTTCATTTGCTGTCTTGCATATCTCCCAAAGTAGAAACCATTACAATATAATGAATTAAGCAGATGTATATAATAAATGACCTTTAGTGCTCCTCTTAACTCTCAACAGCAGTCTCGAATGGAGGATCGCTTGGACAGACTTGATGATGCCATCCATGTGCTACGAAACCATGCTGTGGGGCCTTCAACAAGCCTGTCAGGTGGCCATGGAGATATACATAGTTTATTGGGGCCATCCCATAATGGGCCAATTGGAAGCCTAAACTCAAATTATGGAGCATCTAGCCTCGTAACAACCAATCGACAAGCTTCAATGGTAATATTTTTTTAAAACACATTAATAAATAAGTGTTTTGTCTGTAACTGTTAATTTCTAATCTCTTCAAATCATAGTACAGCCTAAAAAGTTAAAGCTTGACTGGAATTTGTGCAGTGTACACGTTCAGTGACATTTATCAAGAATACTAAAGATGCACTGATTGTAGAAAAAAATGGCAGACTGCTGCACCTGCACCTGCTACTGGTTTCCAATTAGAGGGGATTTTGGGGGTGGGGCACGGGGGGGAAGGAGGAGAAAAACTTACTTTGGCCTGGTCAGTGGCCCATAAAATCCTGCTGTGACCATATGCAGAAAGCTGAGACTTTCTGCTGAGAGTATTTGAGCTTATACATGCATTTTTTCCAGATGTGTAATAATTGGCAGAACAGTTTTCTCCTTGAAATGGTGAATAGGGAGATTGAGTGGGAAAAGCAGTCAAGAAGGACAGAATTTCAAGTGTTCTGGTCTGGAAAAGCTGTTTAGTGTAAATTGGAACTAGTCTTCAATTGCAGATGCTGGCAGAAGACTGGAAGGAAGCTGTTGGAATGTGGAACCATAGTGTGTACAGGCTCAAAATTTAACTTTTTTCTTTAAATGAAAACTGGTTTTGAGCACAGCTGTAGTGCACGGAACAATCAAGAGGAAACCAGTTTTAGATTAATTCTTAAGAAGAGTGAAATAATTCAGCCTTTTTTAGTTTCTTTTAAACCTGTGAACCATTCTGAGAAAAATGGCATTAAGACTTTTGTAGATCAAAAATATTTGTTGAAAGCATTACACTACATAGCAAATGAAATCTGCTCATAACTTTGCTTCCTTTACCAGCCCCTCCCCAGAAAGAGCTTAAACAAAAAAGTTTTAAAAAATGCATTTTATGGTGTGCCATGTGTTTACATGTTTACAGCATAATTTTAGAGACCAGTTACATGCTGTGAAATTTTCTATTATAAAACAGATTCACAGCTAGGTGCTGTGAGATCAAGGTGAAATTTCACTTACCATCAAAATAATTAGGTACCCCAATTGCTGAAAGGTTTGTATTCTATAAAACAGAATTAGTTCCAGGTTTTCCCATTCACAGGTCAGATATCCATTTATATTAATTTTAGAGCCAGTGCAGTAAACCTCAAAAGAGGCTGGTTACTTTCCTATAAATAGGTTTTTTGTTTTTTTATTTTCAGCAGCATATGCAACTTCAGGCATTCCCATCATTTCACAATAGGCTTTAAGTAATGAAGCCGATTATGTATAAATGCTTTGAAATTAGAATTCTCTCTTCTTTATGTTGCCCATGCAGTTAAGGAATGCTGTAAAAGGGAGAATTTTATGGTATTCCAGTATATAGAGACTGAAGTTGAATATTATGGTGGAAAACTGTAGCTCTTTTAGTTGAAATAATGTGTGTCTCTGAAACTGCAGTGACCAGACTGTTTTAGCAAAGGAGATCGCTCTGTCTGAGGTGTGAAACCTTCTGATCTTCTTTCTCTTCACTCTGAATTCGTTTACGTGGTTAGTATATCCTCCTGTTTCTGTATGAGTTGTGGCTGATCCGTGATTTGTGTTGAGCCATAGCAACATCTGCCCACCCTAAAGACGCTCAAACAATCAGCACATTCTTTGAAATGCCACACACCATCATAAAGCATCTTAGGGTGTATCAGAGTATATAGAATATGACTGCTGTTGTAGAGCAGGAAAATAATTCCCAGCTCTCTTGTGGAGGTATCTTTCAAAAGGGTGGAAGGGTAACAAATTAACCACTTTGAAAAGAAAATGGGGGATTAAAAGAGAGAAATAGGGTTTGAACAAAAGATCTTGAGCAACATATTTCATTGCTGCTTTTGGTCACGGGTATAAATCTAGTGTAACCAACAGCAAACTTCGGCTCCATATATGGGTTAAAAACACATTGAATTTCCCACTAAACTGGGCATAGTCAGTCAAGTATAGATGATGCCAAAGTGTATTGAAATGCTTTTTAAAAAAAATTGTGTTCTAGAATAGGCTAGGATAAGCTTTATAAAGTTTTAACAAAATATGTACCAATGGAAAATTGCTGGTCAAACTATATTATATACCAGCTCCTCAGGATTTCGGTTTAAATTGTTTAAGCACGGCAGTGTGGTGATTGTAGACTAGGTCTGTAATACTGTACTGGACTTTTATTTTTGATTGAGAGTTGCTATCCATCCATCTAAAACAAAAAACAAAAAATAAAGCAGCAAACATAATTTAGAGCAGGAAAACAAGAAAGTCCGTGCTTTGCTTTGTATTTCAGGCTGCCTGAGTGCATGAACCAAAGTTCCGTCAAAGCACTCTGTCTTCTCTTTTCAATTGTCTTGAAAAGTGGGTAAACTGAAATGTCATTGAGCTGAAGCTGTTCCTTTGTTACACCAGCGTAACCCTATTGATTACAACAAAGAGCAGAATATGACCCATTTATGGCTGATCCAACGACCTGCCGCACACCCTCTGATGTCACTTGGAATTGAACAAACTCAGCAGGTCACAGGGTGTAGCCTTTGCACATGTGCATAGCAGAGGTTAGCATCTAGCTTAGCAGTACACAACTGGCTGTTTTTAACATTAGTACAGTAATGACCAAACTGTACATGGTCCATACATATACATAGGAAGGCCATAGACGCAGTATTCCACAATCTGTTCATTTGGAAAGCTTTATTTATTTTATCATTCTTTTTTTTTTAAATGGTATCTACACAAGCAAACGGGAGGAAAAATTCTAATGAGAGAGAGAGAATTTTATGTGACGTGTGTACTGGGTTTTAAGAGATGGGCCTTTGTTCGCTTGTTTAGTAACTAATTATCTCTTTGTTATGTTTTTGGAGGAACCTTCCATAAAACTTATATTAAGGAAATAATGAGCTTTTATCGGCCAACAAAATGCATATTTAATGGAAGAAATCAACATTGATAAGGTTTTTATGATTTGGACTGTATTTCTCTACCCAAAGAATTATGTTCATCTGGATTTAGCAGTAAATGAAACCTCATCTTCTGCAAAATCTGAATACAAGACATTTTAGCTCTTTAATAATAATAATAAATTAAATTTCCCTAGAAGATGATCTTGGCAGAAGAAGCTAGGAAATGAGTAATTTAACTCCTTTTTATGTAATTAGTGTAACCAGACATGGTTTTATTTTAACATTTGCTTAATTTTTGAGCCAGGTTTATTTTAAAACTCCAGTTGGCTTCATTTCCTGCTCTCAGAATGTCCTTGGTTTCTATTTTGCAGGGCTGTCCATTACACTTACTGTGGTCTTTATTCAAGGAAATGTTTTAATAACTGAAAGTCATCAAATATTATATGGCCTTTGCAGTGGATTGTTTTTTATTTCATGTAATATTTCCTTGTAAACAGGAAGAAATACTTCTTCGATTCTTATTCAAACCAGTTAGTGTGTTTTCTGTTTACTGGTCTGTAATAAAATGGAAAGGGCACAGCATGAATTGATAAAAGCCAGGAAACTGAGTTAAGGATGAAAATCAATTCTTAGATCACTCTGTTGTTCCCAGGTGCAACAGGAATCTTCGAAGAGTGGGTGATCTTTGCAGGATGTACCATATCTGCTGTAATACCTCTTCACCAAAGGACAGTTTAAGGCCCCAGTCCTGCAAGCTGCTCTGTCCAGACCAACCCCTGTCCCTGAACAGGTCTCCATTGATGTCAGTGCAACTCTATAGAGACTATATTCACATGGAACAACTTGTGGAATTGGGCCTGAGTGTAGAATTTTGACTCCTGAGCTCCATCAGGTGCTCTGCTGAGTTTAACAACTGCACTCAGCATGGTTTAAACTTGGTTGTGGCCAAATTGACCAGGTCATGTAGTTCAAAAACCATTTAGTCCAGATTTATTGGGGCATAAGCTTTCGTGGGTAAAAAACCCATGCACCTGAAGAAATGGGATTTTTACCCATGAAAGCTTATGCTCAAATAAATCTGTTAGTCTTTAAGGTGCCACCGGACTCCTTGTTTTTGTGGATACAGACTAACACGGCTACCCCCTGATACTTTGTCCAGCTCAACTCTCTGGCCTATCTGTGTAGGTGAAGACTAATTCTCAGTTTCCCAGCTTTTGTGAGTTCTGCCTCCTCATGGTTTGAATTTATTATTTAGAGTGAAGCATGTGAAGCAAAACTATACTTAACAAGAGATGGGTTTCTTTCTCTATATATCATTCTAAATCTTCCCCACTTAGGATAAAAAATACAGTTTGTTATGTTTCATCTACTTTTTCATTAATTATATCATCAAAAATACTCTGCAGAAATCTACTTTTCTCCATGGCCCTTTAGGATTACTACAGCCCACCACTTAAATTCATAAATCATATTGGGTTAATCCAAATCAGTTTGCAAACTCGTTTTTTAAAAATTTGACTATAAGAAACTTTAGATTAAATAGTGTTTACATACATGTTATGAATGGATTATCCACGTATGCCTGTATTTAGAAACATTTTAAAATAAATATTATTCACTCAGTAAACTGTAATAATTGCTCTATATCATGTAAATACTTTGAAGAGCATTTTTAAAACCCCCATTTACCCAGTAGATTTCAGCATGTCTTTGGAGCTTTTGTGTTTGCAATGTAGTGAAAATATGTGGTAGATTGTGTGCTTTGTATAGATAACAAAAAAAAGTAATGCATCTACCACACATGGTAAATACCTAAACTACTTTGAAAAATATTAAAATATTTGTATTACATTTTAGGTTGATTGCTTCCCAGATTTTTCTAAAACTGAAACTGTTTTTCAGCTACAGAGTCATAAAGCATGTCTTGGTCAATTGATTTCAATACATAAAAATGGAATATAAAGAGAAATTGAAGTATCTTTAAGATTTACTTAAAAGTAAACATGAAAACTTCTAAGTTAAAGTTCAGAACAATCCTTTTTTGTTTGAAAAATTAAATCCTGCAAATCCATTATAATGGACATACTGGCACCACCTTAATTATAATAGAGCACCTCTTTCAAAAAACTACATTAGGAAAATTGCTTCAGGATGCACAAATAATCAAGATGTGGGTTAAAATTACGTACTTGAGATAATCAATAGTCCATGCACTATTGTTTAAACAGCTAGACTGAATGAGATCTAGAATTAGTTCACCTTTACTCATATGCAGGTTTTTTCATTTTCTGCCATTGTTTTATTCTTCTCACTGTGGAGCAACTCATTAGACTTAACGTTTTTCTGTTATGAGAACTAAACCCATTGGTCTAACTAAATGCAAACAAGTCCCTCCATGAGTGCCATAGTGTAAGTACAGCAATGTAGAAGGAGAATCCACAAGGCAAGATGATGTCATTTTTTGGAGTCTGACTTTTATTCTGAAGAGAAGGTTCACAATTATTGAAATTAGACAAGTATTGCATGAGGATCAACCCTCCTCACTCAAATAGCAGGCTGTCAGCTGTATGCTAATGAGCCGAACAATTAAAATGCCATCCTATCTGGCCTTAGTGAGCAGGCCGCTCTACTGAGACAAAGAACTGTTTGTACACCTGTTGTGCATGTGGACAGTCCCATTCTAATGTGGTATAAAGATTAGAGTAAAAGCTTGAGAAATATGGTGAGCAAGGGTTAAAAGGGACAACAGTGACTGTGAAAGTTAAATTTTCCAGGAAATAGAAGAGAAACATTTGTGAGAGGAATCAAGTTACAAAGAGAGAGTTCTGCTAACTTCATTATGCTGAAATATTCCAGATTGCGTGCTTCAAACAAGTCCCATTCTGCTATAGTGTGATGTAACAGGATGGTGGGGTTTTTTGTTGATTTTGTTTTTTTGCTTTGTGATACATGTGTAAATACAGGGAAATACTTCCACTGCAATGCAAATGCTTTTGTTTTTCTTATAAAGATACTATTTTAAATGTATTTCTGTAACTGGTGTTTGTAGCTGAAGTGCAAAAAAAATACTGAAACAGTCTTAGGGGAACTGCAGAGTCTTAACAAAGGATCCGTATTTGAAGTGTTTATTTTTAAAATATACCCAATGTTCGTTTACTAAAAAGAGGGAAAACACACATATACAGCAACCAAAGAAAGCATTAAAAGTGCTGATGGGATGAAAAGGTGAAATCATTTGAGTTAGGATTCAATTACAAAATAAAGTTAAGAGGCTGCAAGCTTTTCACATCTCCTTAAGGGGGTCCAAGCCTTTTGATGAACTACGTGCATAGAAGTCAGTGGGAATTGAAGGCATTGGGCACCTTTTAGGAGATTCTGACTGAAACCTTCCCAGGATCAGTCCTTTAATTAGAATTCCAGTGTTTGGGTGTGTGAGGGTGATTTGTCTGGTTAATATGAAAGCCGTGAGAGAGAGAGAGAGAAGCAGAGTACAATTTATAAAATTAAGCTGTTATATTGGATCTAAAGCATTTCTGCTTGGGGCTCTATCTTTAAATTAAATTAAAGTTAATTAAAGTTCACCTACCTGTACTGTTCTTGATAACTTGTGTTTTAATCAACTATGTATAACTGTCATCTCTCACTGTTAACTTTAATTCAGTTGATTATTCAAGGCCAGAAAGGATCATCTTGTGCTCATCTTCTCTGACCTCCTTTATAGCACAGGCCATAGAACTTCCCCAAAATAATTCCTAGAGCAGATCTTTTAGAAGAACATCCAATCTTGATTTAAAATTTGTCCAATACATTCAGTTTACATCACATACTTGAGACCAAAATGAACACATTTTTGATGCGCTGGTCAATTTAATAATATGAAATACCTGAAGTAAATTTTTTCTACGAAGCTCATTAGCCTCAGTTGTTTGCTTCAGTTTTGTGAGCATACATTACCAGGTACTGAAACGTAGTGTTAGATTCAGCTTTTTTTATTTCCAATCTATTTTCTGAATTTGTCAGAATTGATCTATTGTTCTGTCATTTTTAGATTATGCCTAGATTTTAAAGTTGCCAAGAATCTGGCAGCTGTTATGTTTGTACATTGCTTGAAGATTTTTTTTTGTAAATAGGTTTTGGAGCTAACTTGCCCCTGAAGACATCTGATGTCTGTAGCTTGAATAAAAGCACCCTCATGTGTTAGGATTAAGAATAACCAGGAGAATGAAAAAAGCACAAAACCTTCAGGGCATTATATTGCAAAGTCTTATATTAAAAACTTTTTTTAAGTTAATAGAGTTCTACAT